AAAGAACCTGGCCGTTTTTCTTTTGGGGCCTTTTTACCCTGTCTAGCCAATTTCTACTTCCTGTTCTTATCACATCATCCTATGAAGGGCTTACCCAAATTGCCAATAAGGAATCAAGACGAAGACTGCTCTGGCTTCTTACATGCTGAATAGGGGGATGGGGTGTGGCAATTGGGGTACCCCTGCAGTGGGTCTATCTAAAAGACTCCCAAATTGCATAACTCTTAACTTTAGGGAGAAAAGAAAATCCTTGACTGGTGCCTAGGAGATGTGAAGGAAAAGTATAGGCAAGAGTAATTAGCATTACAAGTTCTAGATAGAGAACCATAAAAAAAGCCAGAACAGGGCAAATTTCAAATGTCTAAATCAAAGTCCATTAGAATTTTTTTGTTGTTGAGGGCTTCCAAAAGCATCTATCTATTGAGTTCCTCCTCATTTTCTTTTGGCCGCCTAGCTGGACTGGAGTGATGAACTCAGAATTTGTTTTCAGGCACTTTGATAGCTATTGGAATGTCGAGAATCAGTTTCCTCTTAAATGACTTCTAGACAGAAAGAGAAAATAAATTTAGCCAGCATTTTAGAACAATAGTAGCTTGTTTCCCTTAGCTGCAGGTGGGCACTACAGTACTGCAGACCAAGATTTGAAGTTTTGGGGGTTTTTTTTGTTGTTCTTTTTGTTTTATTATTTTTTATTCTGAGTAGTATTTTATTGTTATGAACAAATTCATTAATGAGAAATAATTGTTTAAATAACATCTTATAAGGACTTAAGTCTAATGTCTTGGAAGTGTAATCCCTTGAATTCTTAAATTTACTATCATTTTAATCTTTGATTATACTTTCCTTTGGGGTGTATAAGACTATACAGTTGGCCCAAATTAATCAAGCATCTCTTGAAATGCCCTGTAACTGGGGTGAGTCATCTGACTTCTTGTTCATGGAGGCCATGAAGACCTCACCAGATTGACTTGAACCAGTGTCCAGTCTGCAATGAGGAGGGTCAACACAGAGGAAACATTTCCTAAATGCTTCCAAGTGAAGCCAGTCATGGTGGAGCAGAACCTCTAACTTACCTCACACAGATGGAACTGGTTAAAAAAAAGGCCTAAGGAACCAGAGGCTCCTCCCAAGCTCACATGACTCCTGAGGAACAGATCCCCAACTGACTTTAAAAGTATTTGCTTTGATTTTATACAGCAACACCTAGTAAATGCATTTAGTGGTGGTTCCTTAGGACCTATGATATTTAAATAAAATATAAGCAGCTCTTTTATATGAGGAGGTAAGATGAATCTAGAAGATAGGGCTAGGAGTAGGGGAAAATGTACATACTTAATTTCAATCAATCTAAGCCAATGAAGAAATGCAATGCCTTGCCTTGTTATTAACACAATAATGCAAATTTGAGTTTATGAGGAACTCATTTTTATATTATGTACCTTCTTAAACTTTATAGGTACACTAAAATCTTTTTAAAATAGAATGTTAAATATTTTGACTATACTATTTATATCAGTTTGGTTTCTAATTTAAGCAAACATATAGACCCCTACACTATAAAGTTGTATATATGCATGCATTAAAGTTAGTTGTAATTTATATACATATATAGACCCCTACTCTGTAAATTTTCATGTATGCAAGTGAGAGTAAGTGGGCAGTCTCTGTGAGAAGATGCACCCTCAACGTAGCCATTGATCCAAGAAAACAGTTTTGGAAGTGAAATAAAAATGCCCCTCCCTGTAGTCTATGAGTTTCAGTCCAAGGGCACATGAATTGGTAGACATTGTTCAACTATCTTTTTCCCACTGGGCTGAGTGGGGATCTTTGTGAAAAGTACGTTTGGCTGTATGATGTCATACTTGTCTGAGTTCTAGTCCTTCAAATCATAAGGTGTGCAATGTTAGGGATTTAATTAATTTCTCTTGTCCTATATACCATTATTATTATTAGGGATAATAGTATTAGAATGGCTAAGTAGATTAAATTATCTCAACACAGTTCTAATATACATGTATGTCTGCAAAGTATTATGTCTATCTTCTGTTTATAGATAGTCACATAGACTCTAGGACTCTAATTTCTTTTTTTTCAAATTCAGTAAGACTAGTCAGTAGAGAGCAAAACTAAATGAGAGAAGTGATAATAAAATAATGTAAACATTAATGCAGCACTAACCCCTTTTCTAGTTTCATTTCTGTTGTTGTGGTAAAACACTGAGCCAAAGCAACTTAGATGAAGAAAGGTTTACTCAGCTTACAACTCTAGGTCACGGTCCATTATTGAGGGAAATCAAAGCAGGGACTCAGGCCAGGAACTTGGAGGCAAGACTGCTTGCTATTCCACACATCATCACCTCTGGACAAGGAATTCACTTCTTAGCCAAGAAGTAAAAAGGAACCATGGAGTATGCTCCTTGCAGACTCATAGACAAGTTTAGCTTCAGATAGCTTTTTATACATTTCAGAACCAACTGCATAGAGACTGGTGCTCACCTACATCAATTAACAATTAAAACAATTCCCCACAGACATGCTCAAAGGCCAATTTGATTAGGAAATTCCTCCCTTGATGGTGTGCTCCCAGATGACTGTAGGCTGTGTCAAATGATAGTTAAAGGATAGGAAAGCTTCCTTTCACTTCTTTTGAAAACTTAAAACTTGAATAACTTTAGTTTTCATTTGTAAAATCTTTTCATCTTGATCACCCTTCTGGAAAATACATGAATCCCAGATCCAAAGTCCTGAAGTGCCAGCTGTGAATCCTTTGCTCATGGCCATTGAAGGATACCATAAAGTGGAGACAAATGTGACACTTGGACCCTGCTACAAAAATGTTGCTTAAGCAACAACAGCTTATTCTTACTTTTAGGAGTTATGTTCTATAAAGCAATCATAAATACTTAAATGAGCAAGCACCTAATCATTGGTCCTAAGAGAAATACAGGGCTAGGTTCCTAAGAAATGGAAGACACACATGCCATGTAACATGGAATGCTGGGAACCATTTTACATCATGAAATCACCATCAAGAAAAGCACAAGCATCTATCTCCCAGATGTATGTTCTGACATTGTTTGTGAATTTCTCATAGAGTTTCAAGGGCATCATTTTCTTGTCTAAGTTTCCTAGCCCCACAAGTTTCATTCATCTCTACTCTTTTTTTCTCCCAGCTGGTCTCCCTCCTCCCTCTCTCCCTATTCACAGTACCCCCATTATCTCCACCCTCCCCCAATTACCACCTGACTCCCACCATCCTCTCTCTCTTGATGTCCCTCCTTCCCCCATACCATGGCCCTTTGCATGTCCTTCCCTCCTCTCCTCCATGCCAAATACTCCCACTACCCCATTCAACATCTGTTCCCTACTATCTCCCTTTCAGATCCCTTCTTTTCCTTTACCTCTGTGTATCCTTTCCCTTTTCCTGGCTCCTGGTGTTACATCAGAATTTATATACTCACATGTAAGGGATTGGTGCTACAATCCACATATGGAGAGAATATAAGTCACTTGATTTTATAGATTTGTATTTTTTCACTTAATATAAAATTCTCTAGTTCCATCAAGTACAGGACTCATGTCAACTGAATTTAACAAGGGCCCAAAGGGGAGAAGAGAAATAAGTGGCAGGCCAGCACAAGACTGAGAACTATTCAAGACTGATTGCTGCTACATACAAATGCCTGAATGAATAGGACTTAACACGTATGGTGGAATACATGTGGTTCGGTGTGGGGGATAGGGGAAGCATGGATGGTGAAAGGGATCTAAATTTGATGAAGAACTGTTGTATGAAATGAAAAATGCTCAATAAAAAATGTAAAAAAAATCAAAGATGTGAATAACGAGGCACTAAATAGATCACAAAATAGACATTTGTAGTTAGGAGAGCTGCAAGAAGGTAGAGAATGGCCTTGTTCAGTCTCATCTAGGAGTGTGTGCATCAGATGTCTCAAAAAAATTCTATTTTTGTTTCTTCACACTGTCATTTTCAAAGTATTGCAAGAAATGTTGCAAGTATAGGTTTGGAGTTTACACATATATTTCAGAGTCAGCAAATTGTCAGATGAAGAATATGAATAGGAGAGTCCTTTCCTTTCTTCATTCCCTTTCCCAACAACTCCTGCAAATCAACCTCTGTATCCTGATGTTATTCAGCTTGAGCATCCTGAGTTGTGAAAATCTGAGAGCTGAGATGCTGGAAACATTTTGAACATTGGTATTTTGAGCATTAGTTCAACATTTTTCAAATTTTTTGAGGACCCTGGATTTTTGGATTAGGGAAGCTCAACAAAATATAAACACTTTCTGGTGTAAGTACCAGGAATAAAGGGTATCAACCTGAACTTTGTCCCATTTCAATGTCTCTGTATACTCAAAGACTCTCCTGGGAGCCATAGTCATCCAGGAGGACTGGGGAAGAGGGTTCAGATTAAGTATGTCATCCCTGAAGTGCCCTAAGGGGAGATTTTTGTGGTTTGTTAGCTTTCTGTTGATGCCTTCGTTAATACTCATAAAAGTCTTCCCACCCTACCCCCTCTTGGATTTTCAAATATTGTTTAAAAGTCCTCTCCTTCCTAGGAATGGAAGGCCATTTGCTTTCTTTTTCCCTTCTCTGAATAGATTTCAGTATTGAAAGAGGTGCACTCTTTCATCTGGTAAAAGTTTCATGAGACCAAATATAAAAATTGTTAAGAATAGACTCTTTTGAGCAAACATATGTCATCAAAGAGATAGGGAAGCTCTGCTACTGTCAGTGTGCCTGCACTTTCAGACCTCTCTTTATCTTTAATATAAGGGAGAGGGAGGGAGCTGGAGAACCTGACCACCTTGTGCTCTTGGCCTCGCTAGGAAGGAGAGATACATTTTTCTAGAATGGTGGGACACCCCGTAAACCTTGTCAGGGTCTGGCTCTGCCATTCACAGGAAACAGAGTCAATATACAGTCTGTTTTCCCCTCATTATCATTAGTCATGTTTTTCTCCCATGTAATCCACATAGGCCATCATGGCACAACTACCACAGGAAGAGAAAGCAAAAATAGCTGAACAGGTAGAGATATTCCACCAAGAGAAAAGCAAGTTGGATGCCGAAGTGGCCAAGTGGGATGACAGCGGCAATGATATCATCGTGTTGGCCAAGCAAATGTGCATGATCATGATGGAGATGACGGACTTCACAAGGTGAGACTCAGAGACAGAGGCAATGATGTTCTCATAATACTATGTAAAAAGCATGCAAATGCATAGTGAAAAATTAAAACGCAAGTTGATGCTGTTATAAATTTCCACATACAAATTAGAGTGATGTCCTGCTTGGTCAAGAACAGATTCATTTTTAGAATGATTACTTTTTAAATTATCTATCTTAAGGCTGTCTTAAAATTGAACACCAGGGGTTGGGTGGCTCATTTGTGATTTGTGCTAGTCTAAAATGTATTTAAATATCACTCAGAAGATAGAGTGATTTGGAGCAAGTCTCTGACTCTACAAAAGGATGAAACAAGACCAACTTCAGAGGAGGGGTTTTAAGTCCAAGAAAATATTGCAAATGTAACCTGTGTCACCGAGCACATTTAAAGCCCTGTCAGGGTTTGGATTTAATTCCTGTGCATGCATGTGTATGTATGAGTATATGAGTTGGTGCACATGATGTAATATGCACCTGGAGGTTAAAGGACAACGTTGGTGCTGTTTGCTGCTGTGTGCCCCAAGCTAGCTGGCCTCTGTGTCTCCATGGATTCTCCTGTCCTGCCTTCCATCTCACCATAGATATGCTAGGGTTATAATTGCTTGTCATCATATTCAACTTAACATGAGGGTTCTCAGGGATCAAACTCTAGTCCTCACATTGTGCAGTGAGCACTTTATCCACGGAGCCATTGCCCTTTTCCTGAAGTTAAGTTCTGATTTTTAATTTTGCTGTCAAAATTCTGCAACTTCAGGTTGTTTGTACATGCTTCTTGGTATGTTGGGGTAAAATTGGAGCCAAAACTTATGCTATATCTTGAGATACTGTTATGACACATCAGATGCATACATACATACACATATGAACACACATATATTTTTCCAAAAGGGAATGGACAAATCATTCATTTTAGTATTTTTTGAATATGCATCCACAAAGATGTTTCAATGATTGTATATTGTATGTTAATAGAACCATGTAAGATGTATAATAATGTCAGGACATCGCCTCGTGAGTGATGATGTTTTTAATGGTTCATGACTGCTTCTGATAAGAAGAGGCCATAATTGATTAGAGGTTATAATAAAACATTGAGTGTCGCTGTGTCATCACCTTTCCTCTTTACCTCTGTCAAATATATACTAATGACATTACATGGCTTCTTTTCCAAATCCTTCAAAATGTTTTTGATTCCAGGAAAATGACTTCAGTTTTAGGAATGTGACCTTCGAGAGCTTTAAATGTCATGAATACTAGAAGTTCAAATTTGTACAATTGGTTAGTCTCTGTTGGACTCACAAATACATTTCACACACACACACACACACACACACACACAGATACACACACACAATCAGGAAAAAAGTCTGAGCCATTATTTAAGTCTAAATTTCCTACAAATCAGACACTGATGTCAGTGTGTCAGTCGCTGCTTCCGAAGGCCTGCAGTGACTTCATTTGTTTGTTTTCAGCATTTTATTAGTATTTTATCTGATGGTTACTAATAACATCACTGCAACAAATAATCTCATTAGTTTGGAGTGAATAATTAATCCAGTCATGTTGCTAGTTTAGATCAGGAGAACACTTTGTAATTCACATTATATATAACTGTGGTCAGGAAGATAAATATATTCCAAGGGGGTCTTGTTCAAGGATGTTGAATAAGATAGACTTTTTATTAGTCAAAGCATCATTTTAAGAGTGAAAAGAAAGCTAGTTCAATTTCCTAGAGAATTCACATAATCTTTTTTGCGCTGATTTGCATAATGAAATGTCCAGTGCATGACTGGTTATCATTTTTCTGATGCATGACATGCTTGTGTGTGTGTGTGTGTGTGTGTGTGTGTGTGTGTGTGTTATGTATGCCCTTCCATGAGGGCAAGAGGAGGAGTGGGGAAGACTCCTGAATGCAGAACAACAGGAAGGTGAGGACTGGAAATTAAGCCCCAGTGACTGAGGCCTGCTCCTACTGCCATCTGCACTGCCTCATCCCTTGCAAAGCAGCAGCTGATGGTGGCGTTTTGTGTGGACGCTCACCTAGGTTCACTGCATTTGATTTTGTTCATTATTACTGACCTTGAATTTTCTACTTTAAGGAGGAATAATTTCATCTTCATATATCTAAACCTTCTTAAGTACCATTTTCTATTATTTGAAGTTTCTATACAGTTGATTAGAAATTGAAGCCTAGCTCCTCACTCAAGTGTTTAAAGGACATGTGGACCAAAACAGACTCACATTTATTGCCTTGCTTTCTTTTTAACCACTTCATTAATTTGATTCCATCATCTCAGTGAAATCCACTCCACTGTTATTAAATGGGAGAGGTTCTGCTTCATTATTCTTGGACTAACTCCTTCATGCACGATCAAACCCATTACCACCCCCCCCCATCTTTTTCCATCTTGGCTCCTGACTTTCACCTCATGGGCTCAGGCTCTCTTCCACATAGGGTGAATTCATATTTCTTATGCTATTTTGAGAAAGAAATAGCCCTGTACTAGTCTTGTGTCCCCCAAACAAGATTAATTTAATAGCAAGGGGAAAATGCTTACTTAAATAAGTTCTTATCTTATCTTGAAAGAGAGAGGAGATTGGGTACGGAGTGGGAAACATTCTGGATAAGTGAAGTACTCACCAATAAACTCAAAACTCACGTATTTACCTACACTTACCAAATTGTGTTCCTGTTTCAGGTCAGGTGCTCAGTCAGTGGCTCTGAGCTGATGCTTCAATTTCAATACTTGCCTTGTCAGGCCAAACCACAGTTGACCATTAAAGACAACTATCCAATTTACCTGCACCGAAATTTTTCCTCTCGCCCTCAACAGACCTCTTTATATTTCCCTTCAATAACTGCCTTTCTTTACCCTTGGTTGTCTGTCTCTAGTTTGAACATCAGTTCCATTATCTAAACAGTACTCCTAGGATAAGTTGAATTCATGGTTCCGCAGTCCTGCCTGACGTCTCAGAATTTCCTGAATTCATGAAGTTATTTTACTGTGCATATTCATATTGATTCATTTGCTGAGGAAAATGTTTTTAACCTGTTATTTATTATTGTGTGTATATGCTCTGTGTGTGTGAATGTGTGTGTATGTGTGTGTGTGTGTGTGTGTATGATTTGTATGTATGTACACATAAGCACATGGGCACATGTGTGCCATTGCATGCCTGTGGAGGTAACAGGACAACATTTTTAGGAATTTGTTCCCTCCTTCTATCATGAGTTCCAGGCATTTAAATGAGGTCATCAGACTTGAGCAGGAGGTACTTTGACATGCTGAGCCATCTCACCAAAACTGGGGAAACTTCCTAAAGAACTTTTTTTTGAGTCATGGTTCCAAAGAAGCTTCTGTGACCACAAATATCCTCACTGAATCTCCTTATTTGAAAGTTACATTTGATATCAACAAGTGAGATAAATAAATCTTTTAGAATTGGATTAACTCAGAATTTGAATTCTGGGTACAGAATAGATTGTTCACAGTGTAATGATACACTGATATTAAGGCTCATTAGCTTTTCATAAAAGAAATGGAAATTAGTTGGCAGATAGAAACTTACTGTACTTTAGTAATATTTTTCCTAATCCTTTTTTGGTGTCACCACTTTTTGGGAAAGACTCCAAATACTGACCTTTGTGGGGAAATCAAATATGATTAAATGAGAGATGCTACAAGATTCTGTGTAGTGGAAGCAGTTCTATTTCCAAGAAAACTAGTGACATGTTCCACATTAAACAATAGGAGAGCTCCAGTAGTGAAGGACACAAGATTCCCTGAAACACCTTTTTCTTAATTTTAAACAATTTTTTTGAGAATTTCATAGATACATATAAGGTGTTTTGATCAAATCCATGCCCACTCCCTCCCCTCCAACTCCTCCCATATCTCCCCATCACTTTTTCCAGACAACTTCGTGTATGTTTTCTTTTTTAATGGTTTTTTTTTTGCTACTTTGACATTCCTGCCCCCTGAAGAGGTGACCCTAAAATCTTTTAGATATTCTTGACATTTTTGGCTCTAAAACACCTTTTAAAACTCCTCAAAATAGAAAATCTACTCTAGGGACTCTAGGGAAACAAAAGGTCCTCATTTTGACACTGGCAACTAGGACTACCAAGACAGTGTTTTTGTGGGCTTTGATTCCTAGTGACAGTAAAACTCTAATTTGTAAGTCTTCTGAATTTCCTAGATGTTTTTGTTTTGTTTTGTATTTATTTAGTTCTTAATTTAATGCTTTGATAATGACTCTAACTTATTTAGACTTGTTCTGTCTGATACATTAGCCACTAGTCAAATATGGCAGTTTAAATATATTGATTGTTATATGCATCATAAAGTTTACTACACTAACAATATTGTGAGTAGACAATTCTACCTCATTAGGTTCTGGTATGTATCCATCACTGTCATCTGTTCACAGAACATTTTTATTTTTCTTAAACAGGTTTTTGGTACTCATTTCTGGCTAACCCATCATTACTCACTGTCCATAGACCCTGCAAATCTCTATGGGTTTGACTACTGTAGGTACCACAGAAGTGGAATCATACATATTTGTCCTCTTGTGAGTGGCTTCTTTAAATTAGTGTTTTCAAAGTCATCCACATTGTCATATATGCAAGAAGCTGATAATATCCCATTTGAAAGGATATACCACAGTTTATTTATTCATTAACATTTGGGTGCCTCTGCCTTTTGGGTATTGTTCAGAATGTAGATTACAAATATTTCTTCAAGTCTCTGCTTAAAGAAGAACCGGAAGATCTTATATTAATTGTACTTTTAAAATTCCAAGGATTCATCAAGTCATTTTCTGTAGTATCTACACCATTTATATTTTCTTTCATTTGGAATACTTTATGTCTGTTTTTTCAGTAGGAGCCATCCTAAAAGGTATGAAGCAGAGTGTCATAGTGCACATCATTTTCTTGTGCTTAATAGTCATTGTATGTCATCTTTGGAGAAATGTTGTTCAAATCTTCTACCCATTTTTTTTAATTGAATACTTTTGTTGTTGTTGAGTTGTCACAGTACTTTACATAGTCTGACTATTAATATCTTAGCAGAGAATGTATTTGCAAACATTTCCCTTATTCTTTATTTTCATTTTGTATTGATAGTGTACTCCAATGGCAAGAGTTTTTAATTTACTTTTTCTTTTTGGTTACTTATGTTGTGGTAGCCAAGAAACGACTTTCAAATCCAACATCATGAAGTTTACCCTTGATTTTTTTCTGAGGGTTTATACTCTACCTTTTATGTTTAGGTCTCTGATTAATTTTAAGGATTTTATATATTGTGTTATTGTGTATTAGAAGATTCATTTATTTGCAAGTGGATATAAACTTTTTTTTATCACCATTTACAAAGTCATTCAATTCGTGTACTTGAGATGAGCCATCATGTATTTGAGCCATCCTCAGTTTTCTCCAGCAATATTTCATAGAATTCAGTCATTATTGTGCCTCTCTGGTTATGTTCACTCTTTTTTTTTTAATGTTTACTCCTTTGTTCTTTTTTAAGCTATTGTTAGTAGACTTTTATCTATATTTTGCGGTTCTAAAGATTGAACCCAGAGCCTTATTCATATGAGGCAGGTACTCTAACACTGAACTGCACTCAATCCTGAACTGCTGTTGTGTCAATAAATACATCTGTGATTAATTGTGGCTCAGGATTCAAAGGTTCTCATCTTGTTTCTCATACAAGTGTCATTTGTTTATGTTACTTAGTCCTTAGTCCCATTTGAATTTCAGTTCTCAACTAAAAATCTGTGTGTTATCCTTAAAGCATTTATTTGGATGATTTTATTACCCCTCCTTTTACCACAGATTCTAAATCCAAGAATTCAAATTGAGTCTCCAGTGTGAACGCTGGAAAAAAACAATTTTTTTTTCATAGTGTGGCTAATGAGTCCATGGACTATAGTCAGAGGCAGAATGAAAAACCATACTGTGTTTTTACTCTAACTACAAAATGAGCACCTGAGCTTTGAACAAGGGTCTTTAAAAATCCATTTGTGAAATCACTATTGCACTTTTAAAATCTTATTAACAAATGAAAAATTAATGTACTTCATAGAAGACTGTAGCTTAATAAAATATCTTAAATTTAGATTTTCCCTAAAAGTGTGTTTCAACAGTAATATCAGCCTAGTCTATTTTACTTTCAGCTACTAAAGAAGAAAAAAAATTAAAAATGAGAATGAGAAGTAGAACAAAATACCTTTCTACTTTTAAGTCTTCCATTTTGTAAAATGATATTATATATGTTGTATATACCCAATGATATGTAACCAAATAACTTTTCAGTAACTCTTCCCTGTGTCTCATCACATTCTAACAGGAATGCAGATTTGTAGTCTTAAAAATGCTTTAAATGCTTCTAAATGTGCATAAAGAAGGTGACCAGGAAAAGTAACAATGCTTCAAAAGTTGTATAAGCATATTTAATCTATTCCTTATTTATCACTCAAGAAATTGGAAAGATAAGTTATCATTTTGTGTAAAGGTCTAAGGTGCAGCAGATTTCCCCTCCCTTTATAATCAATACTCTAATTAAATAGGTTGAGTAATATAATATTGAAACACATAATTGAAAACTGAATATGAAAATATTGTGGTGTGGCAAACTTAAATGTACTTACAGTCACAGTGTTTAGTATAACCCTTCACATGTCAGTACCAGAAGCACAAAGTGCATTAAATCAGGAATTTAAAATTTCTCAAATTCTAGCTAAACATTCCTACATGTTCAAGAGATAATTGTCTTGTAAAGTGCCATAGTAGACTTAAAAATTAAATAATATGAAGATTCTGGGTACAGTATGGAAGGTGATACATCTGAAATTATTTTAATACTTCTTTTATTTTAGAATTTATCACTTATGATCTATATGAGTGTGAATGAGTGTGAAAATCAGTGTTACTTATCAATTTAACAGAATCTTGAATTACATGATGCAGGCCTCTGGGCACACTTGTGAGGGACTATCAGGACTAAAGTTAGTATATGACAATGTCTGTAAGGGATTATCTTGGTTACATTAATTGATGTGGGAATAACCATCATAATTGAATTTGGGGCCACTCCCTGGGCAGGGGTTTCTGGACTGTATTAAATGGAGAAAGCCAACATACATTCATCCCTCTCTGCCTCCATGACTATGGATGCACTGTGACCAGCCTCGCTAGCTTCTGGAGCTTTGTCTTCTCCATGATTGACTGGACCCTTGAACTATGGGCAGAATGGACCCTTTCTCTCTTAAATTGCTTTTGTCAGAATATTTTGTTAGAACAACAGGAAAAGTAAGACGATGAATTAAATTATCTGATGCAGTCAATTAAACTGTTCTCTAAAATAGAAATGATAATTGTTGGGGTTTTCAGAAAGACAAATACAAATGTATATGACAGAATCATGAAATATCATTCCTTTTTTTAACAAGCATAGAAATGAATCAAAGGATAAATGTGAACATGCACATGAAATTATGAGAAAATATTCTCTGAAAAAATGGACCATCATCCAGGAAAATGGAATAAATCAAAGCAACAATAAAAATTCCACTAACAGGTCCAGGCCACAGTAAATGCATAACTATCATCTTATGGTAGATTTGTCAGTTTCCAGCCAATGAATGGATTTCTAATTGTGTTGCATATGTTATTTCAGAGGTAAAGGCCCATTGAAAAACACATCTGATGTCATCAATGCTGCCAAGAAGATTGCAGAAGCAGGCTCTCGAATGGACAAATTAGCCCGAGCAGTGGCTGATCAGGTAATACAAGAGAAACAGTGGGCATTAATTCATGTCAGAGTTTTGCGATCAGTTTTGTGGACCTTATAAAAAGCCTCTACAGAATGAATTTGCAGCCCCTAATATTTTACCGACTGTGTCTGCTAAGACCGAGCTCACAGCAACAGTGGACTTAACACTTGAAAGTCTCTAAAGGCTTACCAACAAAATTTTCTCAAAAATAACAGCGTTAACTACTTAGAAAATGTAGTCAAGGAAGAGTTGAAGGTTACTCCACTGTCCGCATTCAGAAAGCTAATTAAACTGCATACTGAGGAAAAGCAGATTCTACCCCGACTGAAGTGTGGACTGTGGGTAGGGGAGTACCAAGGGGTATGGGGAACTGAAAGAATGGAAGAACAATTTGGGCAGTTGGAGAAAGCATCATGGATTTCATTGTGGTAGTAATAAGAAAGCATGACTCTCGTTTATTTTAATACTGATCTTACTATAATACTCTTCATAATTCACTGATGATTCTTACTACACTATATTTAGATTAATTCTTGTGAAAAATGACATACATATTTCATCTGTGTTTTAAGCTACACTCAAAGACATCGCAGAAAACATCAGATTCGCAAAGCATCATCTATTATTTTCCAGCAAACTGTATACCTAATCGAAGACTTCTCCATCTCACATGAATATATTTCAGCATTTTTCATTTCAAAAGGAAATGAACCAATTCAACAAGAGTATATTTAAAAGTACAAAATAAGTTTTTGAAGTCAAAATATTGTATATCTTGTAATTTATATAGAAATAGTAATGAACATGAACTTGAGAGATTATCACAAATGGATGCTGCCTTCTGAAGAGCTTGAAAGATTTTTGGATTTTTTTCCTCTGTAGATGCCCCTAGTCTCCTGATTTTGGAGTTGGGGCTCCTAATTAGAGTTTTCTCCATGGTCTTTTAATTTCAGGGATAGTCCTCTCATCACTTTCTATCATGAACATCTCAGCTTTAAAATCAATACCACATGTACTCACCTTATAATGACTAACCACCCCTGCAAGATGATTAAACTGCTAGTAAAGAATTTACAGTCATGGGGCTGCAGAGGTGGCTCAGTGGTTAAGAGAACTAGTTGCTTTTACAGAAGACTGGGTTACAAAAGGAAAGTATAACCAAAGAGTAAAGTCATCAGTATATTCCTTCAAGAGTTCAAGGGAATACACGTCCCAGACATTAGGCTTAAGTCTATGTAATAAGGTATTTAGACAATTATTTCTCGTTTATTATTTTGTTCCTAATCAAAAAGTGCTGCTCAGATGTAAGACTTCAAATCTTGGCCTGCAATACTGTAGTGCCCACCTATAGCTAAGGGAGACAACCAGCTATTGTTCTAAAATGATGTATGAATTTGTTTTCTCCCCCATCTAGAAGACTTTGAGAGGGAACTGACAGTTTCTAACCACTCCAACAGCTATCAAAATATCTGAAAGGAAATCCTGAATCCATCACTCTTGAGTCCAGCCTTGGGGAAAAAAAAAAAAAAAAAAGGAAGAACCCAATAGAGGGATGCTTTTGGAAGCCCTTGTCAAGAAATTCCAGTGGGCTCTCATATGAACAGTTGAAAATTGCCCTGTTCTGAGTTTTTCTAGTTCCCTGTCTAGACCTTGTAATGCTAATTACTCTTGCCTCTACTTCTCTTTCACACACCTTATTCACCAGTCAAGGACTTTCTTTCCCCCCTACAGATAAGAGTTTTGCAATTTGGGAGTCTTTTAGATAGACCCACTGAAGAGGGACTCCAATTGCCTCATCCTGCGTCCCTGTTCAGCAGGGAAGAAGCCAGGGTGGTCTGTGTCCTGATTCTTTATCCACAACTTGGGTAACCTCTTCAGAGGATGATAAGAATAGGAGGTAGGAGTTGGCTAGGCAGTTAGGGAAAAAAGACCCCAAAGAAAAGTAACCAGTTTCTTGGCCAAAACTCACAATGTCCTTGGGCCTCTTAGCAACAATACTCCATTCCAAAGGCCAAAAATGTTGAAAGTATTTGGGAGCTTTTATCTAATCCTTAAAAGATTTTAGGGATACCTCTTCAGAGGGGGTGATGTTAGAGTAGCCCAAAGCCCCATTAAAAAAATAAATAAAAGAAGGAGTACATGGGGGGGGGAAAGAAACAGAGGATCTTATCAGAAAAGAAGTATTCTCAAGATATGTGAACCAATATTCTAGGATCAATTTCTCTTTTCCAACAGAATCTTTGCAGAACTGTAGAGAAGACTACAAATCCTGGATCTAGCTTGCTATTATCTTTCAGAGTGATTGTATAATGAATTAATACATGTAAATAATTCAGTGTAGAGCTTGTTCCATAATATATGTTAAAATAGAAAAGAAAAGAAATTGAGGGGCTGGAGAGATGGCTCAGTGGTTAAGAGCAGCACTGGATGGTGCTGCAGAAGAACATGGTTACAATCCCAGCACCCACATGGTAGCTAACAACTGTCCATAATATGCAATGTAATGCTGGCAATATGCTCATACACATAACATTTAAAAAAAAAGTTTTAAGAAAATTCACAATCACAGTCAAGATTCCTGGGTTTTTTAGTTTTTTTTCATTGAAGTTTTGAGATTTTTATGCAAAATAGTTTAATGGTATAAATCCCCTCCCCTATCTGCACCTCCCCTCCCAGCCCTTTGTCCAATTTAATCTACTCTCTTATATATAAAATGAGGCCTATAGAGTCTGATTTGTGTCTCTGAATGACCTTCAGTGTGGGTTCATCCACTGAACTCATCAAGAGACCTATCCCTATCTCTATTAGCAGTCATCAATGGCCAAAAGTTTCATAGATTGGGTTTGGATTTCTTACCCACTTCCCTATGTCTCTGCTAAGATTTTGTCTGATTTGAACTTGCATAGGACTTGTTCATGCTGTCACCATTACTGTTATTTCATATGAGTAACTGACCAGCTGTCTGGAAGATTCTGTTTCCTTGTGGTCATCTACCCCTCTGGCTTGTAGAATCTTTCTGCCTCCTCTTCTACAGTGATCACTGAGACTTGAGAGGCAGAGGTTTGAAATAAGGATAAGTACTCTGTGACCTATTAATTTCTGCACATTGGCCGATTATGGATTTCTAGGTTAATAACCATCTGCTGCATAAGGAAACTTCTCTGCTGAGAGTAGAGAGAATGTGTACAGTTGCATTGAAAATGTTTCACTTAGGGTCAAGTGTCTTATAGACCTCTGCCTTTGACCAGTTCTGGAACTGTTCTGTTGCAAAAAGAAGCTTCTTTGATGAGAGGTGAAAGGTAAGCTTGTCAGTAAATAGGAGGATGCATATTTAGAATACAGTAAATTACATTGGCTTAGAAATGTGGAATAAATGGGTTTTTCTTTAGGAACTATGATCTCTCCAGCCATGTGTATTTGCCTATGTTTATAGTATCACACATGAGTTCTCTCCCATTGATCAGACCTTAATTCCAATTAGACAGCTGTTGATTACCCCCAAGGCCAAAGTGTTATTACTGTACCACTATTGATAGTTTGCTGGACCAGTCATCATTGTTGTATTAGGCTTTACAGCTGGGTAGGACCATTGATTTTTTTTCTCCCTTGACAGCTTATATAGTATCCCCTGATACCATGAGAGCTAATCTTCAAGGAGGAGGCTTGAGGTCAGTTCCAAATTGATTGCTCTAAGTCCTGTGTCCAAAGTATGGTCTATTCAGGAAGCAAGTCTTACCTTCAAGTTCTGGGAGGCGATTAAGGACTGTGGTAATAGCTTGTATTTTGGAGGAGTCCTTTGGACTACCCTGACCAATGACTCAAAGGGTACTTTCTCCTGCTTGACACTGGATTTTTTGTTATATAGCCTTGTATTTACTGTACATTTATATTTCAGTAGGACTTTGGGCTAGTTTTTCATATCATCTAAGCATTGCTTATCTCTCCTCTCACTCCCCCTGTGTAAACTTTGCTACTCCCTCTCCAGTTAAAGTACCCCGCTTTATCTATTTTCTCCTTAATAACACCTGTCTCCTAATCTCTCTCTCTCTCAAACTTCTTTTTTCCCTTTATGCCCATGGTTCTCTTCCATTTTCCTGACTCCTGTGACTGTATCAGGACATATCCTCACATCAAGGGATTTGGAGCTAAGATCCACAAAGGAAAAAGAACATATGTCACTTGTTTTTCTGAATCTGTGGCACTTCCCATAGTATAGCACTTTCTAGTTCTATTTATTTACCTGAAAATTTTATGATTTCATTTTTCTTTACCTCTGATCTTCATTGTATAAATGTGCCACATTTTCATTATCTATTCATCATTGAGGGATGTTTCTGTTGTTTCTGTTTCTTAGTTATTGTGAAAAGAGCAGGAACAAACATGGTTGTGCAAGTGTCTCTGTAGTAGGATGAATCAGTAGGGTATATGCCAGTGAGTGGTATGATCAGAGCATATGGAACATTTATCTTTATTTTTTTAAAGAAAACACCATTTGGATTTCCACAGTGGTTGCACCAGTTTGCAATCCCATCAACAGTGAATGAGGGTTCCCTTTTGCACTCATTCATGTTGTTAATTATTGTTTTAATCTAAACCATTTTGATGGGGGTTAGATGAAATTTTAGTCTTGAGTTGCATTTTCCTAATTACTAAGGATATTGAACACTTTTTAAGATATTTCTGAGCCAAGTGTGGTGGCACACCCCTTTAATCCCAGCACTCAGGAGGCAGGGGCAGGCAGATCTCTGTGAGTTCAAGGCCAGCCTGGTCTACATAGCGAGTTGGGCTACAAGGAAACCCTGTCTCAAAAACGACCAAAATAAAAAGACATTCCTTAATCATTATTTTTTCTTTTTTGGAGAGGTCTTTGTTCGAATTCATAACCCTTTTTCTTTTAATTTGGTCTTCTTGTTTTTTGAGCTCTTTGTATATTCTGGATATTAATCAAAGGGACAGCTGGCAAAGATTTTCTCCAACTCTGTAGCTTTCCTCTTCTTCACTTGATTGGT